CGGGTATCTTTTTTCATCTAAAATACGATGCAACTGCAGAGCATTACCGCCACCAAATATCATTTCACCTTGAAATTCTTTCCATTTCACTAATTTCAATTGTTCCTCATGTGATGCCTTGAAATTTTCACTTGCCTTATATTCATAGGGACAAGCTTCAATTGTACGTTTCTCAAAACCAAAGCTACCGCTAAGTATCACCACCCTAGTGGCCTTCTCCACAATTTCGGCCAACTTATGTGAAAGTCGTTAATATGACGGGAGATAAAGGGCGAACGGAATTGGAAAACTAACAATTTATCTTCACTGCTTTCGTATAGTTCACAGGCTGCAACTTTCTCTTGGGGTTCATGTTGATATGCAGATGGACCATAAACTGGTATTAGAGCTGGATGATGTATGGAACCGACCCGCTTAAGATTTTTAGACGATATTAACAAATCACAGGCCAACTGGGCGGCGTTCCCCACGCAGATGCTAGGAATAATAACCGTATACCCATCGAAGTCTTTAATACTTTTGTTTTCTTTTAACTGCAACATTGAAACTGTCTTTTTATTTATTTCTATTTATTTAAATAAAATCACTAATAATAAAAGAATGACAATGATTTTTATAAACAAAAGTGTTACCAGATGAATAGAATAAATGACAGATGTTATGATGTCTGCAGTAAAGTCAATTTAGCTATTTTATACTAAAGTTTAGCAATCTTTAAATCATTTTTAAATATTAACGGTCGTACTAGCGATTTTTTAGTGTTCCCATTGCGTTTTTCAATATATATGTATATACCTAGCTATAAAAAACAGCTATGATAAAAAAGAGGCAACTTATTCTCTTTCCAGAACTTTGTCATACAATACAATTTTGTATTATTTTTTAAGATATTCACAGTTAGATACAAATAAAAAGCACTAAAAAAATAAAAAGAGGTAACGCGACACGATTGTTATGTACAAGAATGAAAAGTTTCTATCGGAATATTTCTTACTCCCTACACCACTAAAGTGCGGAGGGTATTATGAATTTGTGCTGATGTTTGAATGAATAAAAATATTGGTCATATACGCACTGTAACGCATACCAATTGTTAGTGGAATTAAAAAAAATAATTTGTAAATGAAATTTTATATTTTTAGTGTGAATACAACAGGATTTCTTCAAAATTTCGAATATGAAAAACCAATAAGCTCAGTGGGAGAACCTGGCAGTGTTTTACGAAAAACAAGATTATTTATTATAAGCACTAAAATCGCGATGAAATTCTGCACTAATGAACGTTATGTAAATATAATCTCAACTAAATTTTATCCGTATCAGTCCATATTTGCCCCTAGCCCTCATTCAGAAAATTGGTTTTTAGTCAATAAAGGTAAAATTCAACAAAAATGCTATATTAAATTTCAAAAACAGGGTTGTTATAATGCGCATTTTTCGCCATGTGATATTATTAATAGAAGATATCAAATGAAAATAATAAAAATTAAAATGCGAAAACATATTGTTTTGTTTCTTTTATTTTTTTCTGATTAATTTTTTTACCATTCCTAAATGAAAATAATAAAAATTAATAAACATATTGTTTTGTTTCTTTTATTTTATTCTGAATAATATTTTAACCATTCCTATTTATTTCTTAAAAAATAATTCTAATTTTAAAAAAACATCATTGTCGACAGCGGTTGTGGTTCCAATTGTAATCAAGCTGTTAGCCGGCTTACAACCAATTAAAAGCTGCAGCCGTTATTTTTAGTGTCAGCCGCCAACCGCCGTTAATGTTTGTCGGCGCAGATCTAAGCTCATTCGAGTCACTCACTGCCAAAGTAAATTAATAAAGTAGCGACAGTTCTACAACAAATACAACATTTACAAAAACCACAAACGATTTTGTTTTTGGTTTAAGGTCTTTGCTGTCAAAATCATATGATCTTTGTTTACAAAAATTTTCTTTGATAACAACACAAAAAAATAATATTTTAGTAAAAGACATTTTATTAGTTTAGTTTAAGAATAAATAAAAATGCAAATAAATAAAAATGTGTCAGCAATTTATTTAAGTTTGACATACATTTAATAGAAATATAGTATTTTTCTCCAAGAAATATGGAAACTACTTCTGGACTTATTCACTTATTCTCGGCTGGTCGTTTTGGCTTATTGTAAACAATCCAGGTGGAGGGTACATCCCGTGCATTTGATCATATTTTCAGGCCAGCTGCTACACCATTATGAAATGTTGGCCATAAACTCATATTGGCCTGGAATTCAATTTGCTGCATTTCAACAGTGGTTCCTTTAATAGGTTTCTTGCTGGTTAGACATAGTTTTGGTATTGGCATTGATTCCGTTGGTTCTTAAAGTAAACATACCTCCTCTACCCAAAGGTAAAGTCATGGTACGAGTGCACAATGTAAATAATTGTTTTTCTTGCTCCTCAATAAATTCATGATCAGAAGTTCCAGGCGATTGTGTAATATCTATCTGTTATGCGCATATCATCCGGATAACGTAGACTTAAGAATTTGGTACCTATATTATCCATGCCATCATCTAAAGCACCTTCCATTTGTGATATGCCACTTTTAGAGGGTGGACAACGAGCCGATAAGGAGTCTTCCGTGACTATGTTCATATTTTGCGAATAATTTGAACTTTTATTTAGGGCATAATTTCGTAAATCCCTACGCCTCACTTCACCTATCAATTTTTAAATTTGTATTTTGTAAAACACTTCATTATGGCAGGTGATTGTTTGCGTTGAAACAAGTGCTTCGTTATTTGTGAAAAATGTATAAAAAATTATATTTTATAAAACGCATCACCTGAAAAATACACACTTGAAACTTCAAATCGAACACCTAATTTATTCAGGCGTTCGCTTTGAAATTTTATTGAATAAATTATGTACATGTAACAGCTATCTTTATGGAAAAGTTGTGATATTGAAGCTACTCGACCTCGTACGGGAAAGGACGCAAATTGGTATATATTTCTATTGATACTACAATGAAACTCATTCTCTGAAATTAGAGCACTTATATCCATATATGAATTTTATCCAGATTTTGTAGCTGAATGGCGATTGGATAACATTACACAATCTTCATATACATACATAGCTAAAGTCACTCCATTGTAATATCGATAGAACTCGGTGACGGTGCTCCAATGTATCAATAAAGTTGGAATACAGATTTCACCTAATACGCGATCGAGTAGCTCCGTATGATAAAGTGTTCACTTTTGAATGTGAAGTGTAGGTGATGCGTTCAACGCAAAGGATTTACGAAATAACCCCCTTAGTGTAGCAAAAGTACAATTATTATTATTACCTTCCACATAATTATACGGCAATGCATTCAGTTGGTTAAAAACACTAGGAGCTTGCACCTGTGAAAGTTCCTTGTAAGACATTTGAGAACCATGCTGTTCGGTTAAAATACAAGTCTTGGAACAATTTTTCACCAGCAAAGGAAAATCCATAGCATGACGAAAAGTATAAGATTGTAATTGCATTACGTAGGCCAATTGATGCAGAAACTAATTAAGGAAAATAAAACCAAATATTTTATAATATTCATTTGAAATTAAATTGCTGGCTAACTTTGCTTGGCTCACCTTGGCTAATGGCAACAAATGTGCATGCATAATATCGTCCAATTTAAAGTCCTCATAGAGTAAATGAAAACTATAAAATATCGCCAGCATTGTATGAATAAACAAGCCGTAGTATCAATATTGTACATTGTGAATAATTTTCTTTTGATGGTTTATTATCCGATCCATCTAGAATGGACAACATAAATTGTCAATCTTCTTCGGTACCCGAATGTATTTCATCATTTTTTTTTATTTTCTTTGGATCTTCAGCACTAAACGATGTAGCAGTGTTACTGCTATAATCATGCATAACAGCTGAAAATCCCATTAGATGTTTTGTTCTGAAGGCAAGAGACTTAAACAAATGCTTAAGATTTTCCCCGAACTATAAACTAAAGTAAGACGATTAACGGCAGGATCACGTAGACCCAAACAAAAGTTGTTTCTGAAAGTAGAATATTTCAGATTAAATTCTTAAAGTTATCTTAATATAGAAAATCTTTTTCTACTTACCTATTGGAAAACTGTGGCTGCAGAGGGTGTACTGGTGATAACAAATGAAACTCATCTTCGAATGTAGTGTCTCCCGGTTTTGTTTGATGGAGAGAAATGGTCCATACACACATAAGCAGGTGCCGGGAGTTGCATCTTGCAAGCCTCCATCCACTTTCGTCGCCTCCTCTCATCTGTGGGGACATAAAAAAGCTCCCATTTCCTTTTTTGGAAATTTTCTTGCAAATTATACACCTTTTCATAATTTTTTAGTACATAAACCACACAAAATTCAAGTTTTTTCACTTTTATTTTTATTTTTTATAAACAACACACAATTTAATTTTTTTCCACTAAAACAAATATGGCAAATAATTTGACATAAAAGTCTTTGGTTGAAGCTGTCAAAAATTGCAACGTAAACAATTTTGACATTTTCGTCCATAAGTGAGTTTTAAAAAAAATAGTCAGCTGTTCTACTGAGTCTACTTTATAAATTTACTTTGCTCACTGCTTTTACTTCAAACACTTTGTGTTTGTAGCAAACACGAGATACAAAAAATACATTGCTGTTTGACAAACCAGAGTTTCCTAGGTCGTCAAACAAATGTATTTTAAATGGGACATCAAACAAAATCTGTTTGAAGGAAAAATTCTGCAATTTTTTGCGCGCAGTTGCATGTTTTCGCGCCAATTTTTGCAAATTCTTTATTTGATCTTCTGTCATTTTACATACATTTTGAGTTTGTAACTAACGTAGGACGTGTTAAATTTGGAATTTTTTTTAATTCTTTTAAAAAAATTATAAAATAATATAATTTGGAAATGACATTAATTGTCTATTGAAGAGTATAAAAGTATTTTTAGTATTTTACTAAAAATATTGATAGATTTGGCCAGTTTGTGAGATCTAGAGGATTAAAAACTGTAAGTACATTACATGTTAAATAATTAATTATTTGTCTCTAAAAAGAAAGAAGAGGCATCATGATGGTCTCGTGATAGAATGCCCACAAGAGAGTGGCAATTGTATACGTCCCTAGGAGGACATGCCAATGTTGAAATAACTAGTCACCTAGGGGTGTGGTGGTCGGTCGGCTAGTGGTGACATGGTATATTAACACCTAGAGGCAATGGACGAACGCTGATTGCCGTATCCAGGGGTTATCACAAGGATACATACTTATTATTATACCATTGATCTCAGCAGAATCACTACCATTCACCCATAGCGTGTGATGTCTGTCTGGTGTGCCTTTCAGTGAAGCTCTTGTTGTCTCCAAACACTATGGTGGCCGAATAACTTGCTATTTGTGGGCTTACTGCCGGTCCACACTAGGAAACTTTTTTTGGGAAACTTTTGATTTTGCGTGAGAGAGAAAGAGAAAGAATATCATTCATCTCTCTCGCGGTACGGAGTTTCCCGTACTCGGAAACTTGTTTTGCTTTGTTATTCTTCTCCTTCGTACAACCACAAATCAATGCATTTAATACGTAGTTTCTGAAACAAAAGTTTTCATGTGTGGACATTAAGGAAACTTCAAAAGAGAATTAAGAAAAAGTTTCTCAACAAAAGTTTCCTATGTGGACCAGGTCTTACTTGTCAAAAATGTTTATGTTGCCATATTGTTTTAATTTTAACGCGTGCTTTTGTACAAATTTCTGAGAAATTTGTTGTATTTAGACTGTGTGCCAAACGGCAGCAAAGTTCTATGGTAAATAAAATTTTCTTATGGAACTTTTCTGGCTAAAGAGAATTAATGAATTTCTCTTCGTACTTATAAAAAGTACGGGAACAGAAAAAAAAATTTCTCTTTCAATAAATTTGTATTGAAGTTTATTCATATAAATTTCTATTGAAATTAAAATAAAATTGAAAAACTACAATCACACATACTTATTTATGAAAATAAATAAAAAATATCAAACATTTTTGTTTTCAATGTATTTTTTTAAACAAATAATTTATTTGACAATTTTTTTTCTATTTGCCAGGAAAAAATTTTCTGGCTAAAACCTGCAAGTTCTGGCAAAGAGAAAATAATTTTAATTGCTCAAATTTGTTCTCTTTTACAATTTCTGGTAAAAACCTGCTAACTTGACAAGTAAAGGAACAAAGCTATTATCACTTTTGCTGTGCCAAACGATATCTTTTTGATTACATTAAATTTTGACAATTGTCACTAATTTCACAAGAAAATCTGCATTTATTTTAATAAAAGAAGCTCTTTTATTGATTTTTTTATTATTGAAATAAATTTCTACAATCACAAATGTATTATAAACTAAAATTATCAATTGTCAAAAATTTATGTAGCCCGATGAGCTAGTAAAATTTTATTCACCTCATATCTATCAAAAATTTACATTTTCAAGTAAATTGTTACCGATTGGCACACACTCTTAATGTGAAAAAGTGTATTTTAAGTGTATAATATTTTTAAAAATGTTCTAATTTTTAAAAAATAAAGAAAACTGTGACTTTTAATAAAAATAACAACATATTTTTGGAAAGCACACCAATAATGCCATATTTTCCATTAATTATTGGTTCAATTTTGTAAACAAATTTTGTCGCTACTTTATTAATTTACTTCGGCGCAGATCAGGGTGCACTCATAAGGTGAAGTCAATTCAACAGCTGATCACTCATTTTTTTTTATTTGAGGTAGATACAACTGTCAAATTACACCATTTAGAGTTGCCACAATCCAAAAAAATATGTACATCTATCTACGGATTTATAATATTTTTAGAACAAAAAAATAATAAATAAATTTTATATTAATTTTAATCCGTAGTAAATTTATGCAAAATACTCAAAAATTGCACAAACTGTTTGTCTTAAACATGCTTCTATTTTATCAATTATAGGGAAATTTTTACTAATCAATTGAGAGTACAAACATCCCACAATTGTAAATAAAATGATTAAAACTCGATTTTATCACAGAACTTAATTTTTAACAACTTTCAATGGTAGTGGTTTGGTCACATTTCTATAAAGATATTTCTTATACGACAATAGTAGAGACCTACATGGTATTATAAGTTCCCAATATTAACTGATAAAAAAATAATAGGTATGTATGTATGTATAATTTGTATTTTTGCTACTACTTACAATTTTGTAATCTAATACTTATTTTTTGTTATATTAATTGATAATTTATTTACTTTTTTAATAAGTAATAATTTCAAATAATATTCTAATTAAATTGGTGGATTCTTATTTTTCAATTCATGTATAATTTTTAATAAATTTTATTTAATAATACATATTTACTTAACGTGAAGAGATTTTTGGGCATGTGGGATTTTTTTTTGTAAGGTAAATTAAAAAAATCATGGTGGCAACATGTAAATTTTTTGACATGAGTACTTTTGTTGTTTTTGTAGAATTGACTTCACCTTATAAGCAGGCCTGCCAGATTTGCCGATATTTTACCTTCAAAATAGTAAAGTGCCGATTTCCCGATTTTTGCTTCAAAAATGCCGATTTTTTACCCAATCGAACAAATTAACGAATTTATTATAACTTGTTGCGGGGGACTCTGGGGGTGCCGACTGTAGGGTGTATGTCTAAAAAAAAATTTTGCGTGGGGGGACCTTAGTGGGACGAGTTTCGAGCACTATCCGGCTTGGCCAGCGACATCGGCGCCTCACCACATGGCCGTGCTCTTAAAGATTTTTACATTATTATTTTTTTTTGTCGGAATGGTCTACTTTTCTTATAGTAGTGGGGATTGCCAATCCGCAGTAGACCATTGGCAAACAGGGGGGAAACCTTGCTCGTGCGACCGCCCGACATACGGATCGCAGTTAAGCCCCGCTGTTTTTACCTGAAAAGAAAAGAAAATAATTAAATTGGAAAAAAATAGTGTGGAACGATACTTACTATACCAATTTTTTTTGTTTTGATTGTAAAAAATGAAACATATGTTATCCAGTGTTGGTAAACGTTCGTATATGTTTTACTTGTTGCAGACTATTGTGAATGATTGCTACAGTAGGGTACGTAGTAGTAAAACGGATGAATGAATTTATGCGTCCTTTTTGTATTGAAATTTAGTTGTAATGGGGAATTCTAATGGAAATGAAATAGATATATTTAACTAAATAAAATTTTGTTAGAAAGGGATATATGTATCGTTGTTAAAAGGCAGATTTTAGAGGGAAAAAAAAAATAAAGATGGCTTTATTGGAATAGCTAGTAATATAGGTCAAGCGTAGCCATGTAAATTTTGTACTTGGTAAGATTACAAAGCTTCTGGACGTTGAGAAATAAAGACATAAAAAAGTGCGCGCAATAATAAGTGAAATCAAATCGCTAGGTTTTTTATATAAAAAAAAAAATAAAAAAATATACACCATATACATTGGCAAATAAAAGTAAAGATTAAAAATAATACAAAAGGAAATTACATAATAAAGGTATAAAGCAAACAGTTTGTAAAAAAAAAAAAAAATATATAGAAAGAAAGTTGTGTGATTTTTTCTTACAATATAGTTTTGTGTGTCTATAGGGTAGCAAGAGTTTGAGAATTTCGAGTATTGGACAAGAAATAAAGTTAAGGTTACTGCAACGACAAGGATAAGGAAATCTAGAAGTGTTTCCTGCAAAATAGTATTATAAGCTTGGAGAACGTAAGTTTCATAGTGTATAGGTTATTTTATTAGCGTTTACTGGTCAAATGTTATAAATATTAATCTTTCGACCAAACAGCTTGAGACGGGTTTCTATCTGGAGCAGGACCAGAGTTAACTATTTCGGAAACCTTACTCTTCCTGGGAAGAATCTCAAAAAGGGTTCTCCAAAAATTTAAATCCTCTCCTAAAACAACAGGTAACCATACTCAATTAAGAAAAATAATAGCCAGAAAGAAAAAGAGTACAATCCGTTCAATACTCGACGCTACGTATTCAATTGTGAAATTTCAATTATTGCACTTGATTTTTAGTATATTTAACTATAGAACAGAAGATATATATCAGAATTTAGGGTTTAAGATTACTCCGTATCATTTATTAGTTTTAAGTTTAATTTATTTATAAGATATATTCATATGTGTTTGTGATTAGCGTGCCTCGCAAGAAGAAAAAAAAATCGTCAGGTTGTAGGAATATCCATCCCCAAAACAAAACGAAGTATATATTCGAACTTTAGTTTTTTTTTATTTAATTGTATTTTCCCTCCCGAAATAAAGAGCTCTTTA